GTTGTACAATAAGAGGTAATCAACTCTTATCTCTTATATCATCACACCTGCATGCCATGCTACTTAAATTTAAAAATTTTACATTCAACAAAAAAAAATAATTATTAAATTATTTAGTTTGTTAGCTTCTTTTGAAATGGTTAGGCAAATAGGGACAATCTCTACTTGATTTGTACTTATTATATACATGAGCAATGCTAGGGGCACTCGTCTCTTGCACTCTCCGGCCAACACTTTCTCTTTTAAGTTATTGTTATTAAATTAAATACAATTTTACCCATGAAATTGCTCTTCATCGCCCTATTTGGTTCTTTAACTATTATATAGACTTTTAAGTTAATTTCTGAACTAAAAAAGTTTTTAATTTGGTCCTTAAAATTTTTTAATTTGGTCCTTAAAATTTTTTAATTCAGTTTCAAGTTGATTTTTTTTTTTTTTGTTAAGAAACAACTAACATATCTGTTACTTAATTATAGAAGCTTATTATTTGACAGTCATGTGTCACATTTGAAATATGATACATTAGTTATTTTTTAATGAAAAAACTAATTTGGAGTTATATTTATAAATTTTAAGAACCAAAACTAGACATTTTTTAATTTAAGGATCAACTTAAGAGTCTATATAATTGTTGGGGGATCAACTTAAGGGTTTTATCAAAGGAAGATAAATTTGCTAGCTTGAAATGAATTTAAGGCTTTGAAGAAAGTTAAAAAAAAAAAGTTTGATGTTTTTATGGTATGAATTTTATCAAATTGTGAAATACAAATTATTAGATAGAGAGATTCGTATCTATTATGAGAGGTGTCTTTCATATAATAATTGATGTTTTGTAGTTTGGTATTTTTGGGGGAAAGGGGGAAGAATGAAACAAAGTAGTCAATATCATATCGACATGTGTATCAGTTTTGCTTCTAAAATGGTACGTATTGGATATTGAAAATTTTCACGTACCGTTTTGGATTTATCGGTGTAAATTTATATTTTTATAAATTAAATATCAAATATTAAATAGTTGAGAGATGAAAATTATGTAAAATTTTAAAGTTGAGACATTAAAGTTGACATTTAACCTTTGCTAATTTGTGTTTCGAGAAAATCTTCTTTCCCCCTACTCTGTTAGTCGTCGGAGCTGAGTTGAGAAACTGTTCTCGATTTTTTTTTTCTTTTTTGGTTTGTGAAAATTGTTTCTTTCCTTCCCCTGATTTCTTTATTTATCTTTTTCTTTCTTTCTTTCATTATGGGTGATAATTTAGAGATTTTATGAGACTTCTTTTTGTGGTTTTGCAGAATTTTGGCCTACTAGGGCAAGGAAGAAAAGGAAGCTCAACCTGACCCTATTGGTAAAGGATCTACACTAGCTGGAATTATTCAACACTTCATGATAGTTTCGCTTCAAAATGGGAAGCTCAGCCTAACCCTATTGGTAAAGAATCCATCACTTGTTGGAACGATTCAAGAGGATCCCTAGGCTGAAGACAAGATTTGAAGTTGCAATGGCAGGGTAATTAAGATTAAGAAGCCCTAACTCAAAACCACATCGTTTTGGGTTAGGGAATTTTTTTTTTTAAATTTTTTTAACCAGTGTGTACTAATCAAAATTTTGATGTACCAGTCGATACATTAAATTTTGACTGAAATGGATTTTTATATTATATCATTTTGATAAATACAAAAAATTGATACATACCGACTATACCAACCAATTCAGTATGAAATTGTCAACTTTGGAATGAAGTCAAAGGAGAAAAACGCAGCTATTTTTGGGGCTATTGTGTTGGTTTATAAGCTGCTAAGAGGATATTTGGGTTTCCCTTCACTCTTCTCATGGGCTGGGCTCTTTCTGGTAGGTAGGCTAGTAAAGGCCCTCTAGGTGTTTGTTTATTTGTATTTGAGAGAGAGAGCCTACAGGTCCAACAATAAGACAATCAACTAAACCAAAGTGTCTTCTTCTTTTTTTTTTTCTTTTTTTTTTCACATTTATACTTTGTAGTTTGAATAAATAATTAATGATGGTGACAAACCATATCCATATGGATCAATAATTTGGACCATCAACAGTTTTGGA